CAATGGGTGCATTCAGTACTACAACCGCTCAGTGAGTACTTGCATTCTATGAATACGGGCATTAATCTCAAGCAATGTCTTAAGATGCTAATATTCTGATTGGTTCATGCATTTAGCTTAAGACCATCTCGAATCTTGAGCAACATCTATGGATTCCGCCCTAATGCTAGATTCACACTGCATACGATTTTCGTCGTACGACGCTCTGCATTCAATCAGAAAACAGGATTCCGATAATACGAAGCAAAATTCATCGGAATCCTGTTTTCTGATTGGTTGCAGAGGGTCGTACGACGAAAATCGGATGCAGTGTGAATCCAGCATTATAGCGTTTTTAAATGGAGTGGGTTTGAACCTAACTTGAATAGGATCGATGAGGTCACATACTTTACTTTGATTTCTGATTGGACGATATTATGATACTTTCGGATCAAACATGTGGTCTGTTTTCTGTTCCTGCACTAGACTGCACTAGAACTCTCTTTCTCGCTTTCGTTAAATATCAAACATACATCTATCTCACTTTAAGTTCCAAAAGTGTACACTAGTTTAGCCACAGAAAACAGACCTATGAGTTAACCGAACTGAGTTGGGTTTAAACTCACTCCGCTCGAAAACGTTATTAAGGTGCATTCACATGCAAACGTCAAGCAGCAACCAATCAGCTAAGCGATACGGACAGTGGTGTAAAAAAATATTTTTTACGCCACTGTAAAAATCGCCTCGTTGATTGGTTGCTGCTTCCGCTGCTTGACGCTTGCATGTGAATGCACCTTTAGAGTATTGTATTCTCCCCGCTCACGCTTTAGACATACATACATACGTTCAGAGCTCCCATATAAATTATGCGCAAGCGCGCAGAAAACAAGCTTTCAAACAAGGACAGATAGATCTTGGAGACAATTTTATTACATTGGTCAGATACGATATGGTCGTCCTTCCAGGACTGCGAAACATGCCTCCCGTATATCGTTTTATCCTTATTGTTCATCCACAATAGCTCTGTACTACTTGCTTACACTTTTTACATTTAAAATGTGATAGATATATATTTAACGCTGAAAAGAGAGAAAGCGAAGATGCTGAGTGTAAAAAAGTGTAAGCAAGTCGAACAGATCAAATGTTAAATAAAGATAAGATGATACACGAAGGCACTAGGATGATGTTTCCGAACGCAGCCCAGTAGGGCTATTCTCTAACTTTTAACGACAGTTCGGTATCGTTATATTGTCGTTGCGGAGCTTTTTCATCATATAAAATACCTGCGCAACGACATCCCTAGCTAGTAAAATTGTCGTTAAAAAGTTACAGAATAGGTCTACTGGGCCTCTATTCTTGAAAAGAAACGTATACGAAATTCTAGAAAAATACTATAGTATACGTAACGTATACTGTGGTATTTCTCTAGACTTTCGTATACGTTTCTTTCCAAGAATAAGGGCCCAGTATGTATGTTCTAAGCAAATTTCTCAAATGCGAAAAAGCTATGCGAGTCGATCACGTTAAAGTCACTAGATCTATAAAATACCGCAAACTCGCATCCATTTTGACGCGAAACGCGGCCATTTTGAATTTATGCATTTGTATTACGTACTTTATTTGGGAAAATGAAGCTGTCAAGTACGTAAATCAATGGCTGCGTTCAGCAGACTCAACAGTTTTGCAACCGTTTTATGATTGTCTGCTGAGATAGGACCATTCTTCTAGATCTAAAAGTATGATCCAATTAGCGCGAAGGAAACTTACAACAGTTGCAAAACAAACGTTCTGCTGAACGCACCCAATGTTTTTTAGTTGTAATTAGTTTATTTATGAACAAAAGAATATGTACGAATGCTTAATTTATATGTTTTTTAGTTTAATACGGATTTATTTGCTGTAGAAGTTTAATGCATAAAAGTACACGAAGGGACATGTAAGGCCGGAATCAGACTACGCATTGAAGATTGAGATCGAAGATTGAAGATTGAAATTTGATCAATGAGGGCAAAGGAATTTTAGCTCCTATTGTTTTGATTGGTCAAATTTCAATCTTTCAATATTCAATCTCAATCTTCAATGCCTACCCAGTGAGAAATGATAATGAAATCGATTCCATTATCATTTCTCACTGGGTAGTCTGATTCCGGCCTAAGTACAGTTTAAAAGATGAACCACCATCATGCTTAGAATCGTGTACTATGTGTACTTCGGCGATTTTGACGTAATCTTCTGAAATCAATTGCGCTACTTTATAGATCTAGTGATTTTAGAGCACGTGAGTTCTCGGCGCCACAGAAAAAGAATGTTTTCAAGTCTTGCAGTTGGCAATACTTAATCGGCCGATTAGTTTAATCGGAGTTGGTGAGACTGGGCCTCTACTTCTGACGGAAAATATCTGGCAACGTTGTTCCTGTGACCGCGCCGATCGCGCCGATCAACTCAGATCAGCTTACACGAACGTCACGAACTCGAACGCATTGCAGTGTCGCGATACGATTTCTCCGAACGTTTGACATCATGCTGAAACCCCTGCTGCTCTTGTGCTGGGCCGCGACGATTGTGTCAGGTAATGGCCAATAACAAATTCCTGATGTGAATTCGTAACTGCAGCCGTCGATGCAGACAGCTATCCGTGCTAGAAACGTATTATCGTGACCTTGCACAGCGATGTCGATGATTCCATCGTCATCATCGTCATCATTATTATGATTATTATTATCATCATCCATCATCATCATCATCATCATCATCATCATTATCATCATCATCTATCATCATCACCATCATCATCATCATCATCATTATCATCATCATCATCATCATCATCATCATCATCATCATCATCATCATCATCATCATCATCATCATCATCATCATCATCATCATCATCATCATCATCATCATCATCATCATCGTCATCATCGCTGTCATCGTCATTGACCTCGCGATCTCGCTTTGACGAGAGGGACAAAGTGAACGGAAAAGGGAGATCGCGACCCCAAAGTCACGCTCGTGATCGTACTTCGGAGATTAATTGCGCACTCCTAATCATTCGCCATGATGATGAGGCGGACCAGATCTCCCTTGAACGAAAATGTCATGACAGTGACTCGAGTGCAACTGCACTCGTCTCGTCTCGCGTCACGTAGTCGTGTCGTATCTCTGTATTCTGATGATTCGACGTGGACGATTATATGCTTTTAAAACAAAACAATCGCTTGACAGTCGCATATGTAAGAGATGACATTATGCAGCGTCCTGAGGATGCTAGATCATATTTTGTGCGATAAAGATTATCTTGCCTGGGAACAGCCTATGTCACAGGCTTATGCATGTTTCTATAATGCAGATTAACTTTAATCTTAACTCAACTTGCTTTCCATCTTTTTTTAATTTTTAGAACTAGAAAAAAGAGAAGTTAGTTGAACCAAGATTAAGATTAAACTATATTGGTAGAAACAAGAATTATAATTGGTTACGACAATCCCTCTATCTTTTATCTCTAAATCCATTGCTGTGTGAAATCAAAATGATTTCGATTCATGTTTTTTTTTTTATTGAACGTTACTCTTCTTTGTTTAGTTCTTTTTTTACGCGATTTATGTTATTTTACATGATTTATATATATGAAATATTTAATTGATACTGAAAACATATGCAAAATTTAATTAATACATATAGATGAATGTTCAACAACATATATTAGAAATATTTGGTCCTTACATACTTTCTTAAACTGATTAAAGATATATCTTAGCTTTAAAAACATATGATATATATGAAACATAGGATATATATATATGATTGAGATCTATTTTTAGATAGAGATCATTTTCTTTAAGCTCTTTGTCTATAATAAGCTTTGTTGATACAGAATCTTGAAGGTCAGAGGTGAATCACCCTGTGAATGGTATAGAATATAATATACATGTGTAATTTTAACAGCTGGCGACCCAGAGAATGTCAATACCAATGACACAAGTATT